ATGCAATAGAAACGAAATTTAATCAAGTAAACTAATTAATTCCTCTAAGTTGCAATTCTCAACCAAATGGCCTCAAATTACACATGTTAACAATATAGCATGGTCATTGCATATACCAATTCTAAAACTTGATTAGGCCAATTGAATAACAAAATGAAATTTAATTAAATCATGATAATCAAATCCCTAAATTCTAAAATAATATAAAATGGTCCCATATTAACATATACTAGTATACAAGTCCTAGTTATCTCAAATAGCAAGTCAAAACTTAATTAAGCTAAAGGAACCATTAAATAGATTTCAATTAATCATTTTAATTAAAGTCTCTAGATTTTCATACTTATCCAAATGCTCTCAAATTTAAGTATGTTAAACAACATGCCTAAACTTAATTTAAAAGCATGCTACAAGTCAATTTCATGCAAGGCACATCCATGTAAATTTAATCTTGTACAAAGAATTAAATATTACTAATTTTTTAGATTTGATACAAGTCATGCAATCAAGTTGTATAATCATGAAAAACACCACATACAACACATACAAAATCCTAAAATATCCCCTACCTCAATTGGAATGAAAATCCCAATTACCACCGAAGTGAAATCGCCCCAAATTTTTGGTCCGCAAGACAGATTTTTCAGCTTGTTACCTTCAACTTGGGAAATTCATAAAAAATTCAATTCTAATCTAAATTGAATGAATCCAAAGCCCAATGAAAGCTTAAATACTGCAATTTGATAATATCAATTTAGATTAACAAAATATTTTCCCAATTGAAACAGTTTTGACCCACAACTTTGAAACAAATTCTGCCCAGAAAACACATTTTCAGCCTGTAGCGTCCAATTTTAAAAATTCATGAAAAATTCATTTGACATCCAAATTGGGCAAACCTAATTTATTTTGGAAGTAAACATATGAGAGTGTAAAACTAAAAATTTAAGCCATAATCCAATGTCAAAAGGTTAGTGAAATAAATCATCTAAAAATATGTTTTCCAGCTGCAATAAAAACATGGACAGCCATGTAGTCTCGGATTTTTAAAAAAATTTAGAAATACTCTAAAATCGTGAAAAAATTCTGAGTAGTGTAAAATTCATGGAAAAAGTTCCAGTAAAAATTTCTAGGTAATTGAAGTACTACAGCTCCATATAAAAATTCGTTTCCGGACCGGATAAGAAAATATTTAAATTTCCAACAATTAGCTTGGAACTTCAAAAATTCATAACTAATTCATTTTAAATCCAAATTACATGAAACCAAAACTAAATGGAAGCTAATTGATTATATTTTTATGTTATATATTTAATTTGACAAGATTTATTTCAAGTTAAAACAGTTTAAGGGCAGAATACAAGTCCTTCTTTTCTATGCATGTAAAACACTCAATATTGACATAAAAATACTTCAAAATAATAGATCTATACCTCACTAGAGAATTGAATCTCTAGATACCAAAGCAAAACTAGGAGTTAGGCTAGATCCTTCAAGGGTTTTGAAGAGGAGGATGAGGGGATCAAAAAGTATTCCAAGCTTTATGGTTTAAAGTAAGTGGAAGGGCCTCAAAGATCAAGGTCAATGCCTAAAGTTTCAAGCTTCATCCAGGAGGCTAGGGTTTTGTGGTGAGGAAGAAAGAGATGAAATGTGAAAATGTGTTAGTAGAGGAAATAGAAATCCTCCACTCACTATGTGATCCTATACCATGGTCAACACACACATTTATGGTCAATTGCACAAAAACTCTCCTTTAAAACCATAATCCCAAAGTGGCCTAAAGATCTTTGCAAGACTAAATTGTGAACCTGCACTTGTCACCAATCCATGGCTCCTTTCTAGGCTTAATCCCATACCTACACTTGTCAACCATCCAAACCAACAAGTGCACCAATCCTAGGCCAACAAGTGGGTGAATCCTCACCCTCCAAATGTCATCATCCAATGCATCAAAGTGTTTCCACACAAATGTCAACAAGTGGACCAATGAGAGTGTGACACTTGTCACATTTTTCAAAAATTACAAAAAGGTCCTTTTTGAAAATATCTTCCAAATTTAATTGCAAAATGGTTCCCAAGATGAAAAATAATTACTTTATTTAATTACACTAAAACCCCACAAATTAAGAAGAATTACACTAAAGTATGCATTAATGCCCCTTTATAAAGGAAGTAAGCAATCAACATGCTTTTCTAGAAAAGTAAAAATACCACTATCATGGAAATCAAATATCATGAATGCACGCAAAACCGGAATCAAATCCGAGTACAAAAAGTGAGGTTGTGAAAGGAAAAAGGATAAACGAAAAAAAGACAAAATGTGAATAGTGTTCGGAAAAATAAAGTATGGAAATGACACAATCCCCAAAGGAAGTTGTAAATTCAAGGAAAAAAGTCTCGAAAATCATTCCAGAGCACTCGAGACGACATCAAGTGATGAAAAACCGAACCCAAAAAGGAAAAGACAACGGAAAAAAATTATCCGTGAAAATCCGGGTTATTACAAGGACTATCCTTTTAAAATTAGGGGTATTACAAAAAAAGAGTGGAAGAATGTACACAAGAATGAAGAATAAAAAGAAATGAGGGAGGAATAGAGCTTTGAAACTCTACGAATACTAGTGTTTATGCCTAACATGCATGAAATCTTCAATGAAGCTTAATGGAACATATCTAGACGCCGCAAGAAGTGAAAGATAAAAAGAAATGGGAGAGGAATAGAGTTGAAAACTCTACGAATCACTAGTCTTTAACATCTCTAGCAAGACGTTAGGCTCTTTTAGCCCTGATCAAAAATCTTATTGTGCATCCCCTCCTTAACGGGGTGAAAGGCACTTTGAATCCCACCCAACAAATTGTTTCCGAGAGAACTTGTTGGATTTGGCTCAAAAGAGATTGACGGTCCTTGGTCTATGTAATTTTTGGGCTTCCATGCCCTTGGAACACTTGGTTTGCACATATTTTTCTTTGAACTCTTTTTGGGAAGCAAACCATGGAAATGTTCAACATCAAGTAAAGACTCAATTTTATCAAGTTCATTCTCAATACACTTTTCTATAACACATACTTCTTCATGCTTGTCTATTCAACTCGGGGTTGGATTAAAGATGTTCAACTTCACTTTTATATACCCAAATGATATTTTCATTATCTCTGTCCTACAATTGATGTTGGCATTTGTGGTTGCCAAGAAAGAACGGCCAAGGATAACGGGAATTTGGCTCTTGGGGTTTGGGACCGGTTCTGTGTCTATGACAACGAAATTAATGGGGAAGAAGAACTTATCAATCTTAATCAACACATCCTCAATAACACCTCGGGGCTTTTTGATGGATCAGTCTGCAAGTTGCAAAACTACCGACGTCGGTTTCAAGTCTCCTAAGCCCAATTTGACATATATCGAGTATGGAAGAAGGTTAACACTATCTCCTAATCTAAAAGAGTCCGATTAATGACATAGTCAACAATGATGCAAGAAGTAGTAGGTGAACCGGGGTCTTTAAATTTTGGGAGAGTGTTGTGTTGCAAGATAGAGCTTACTTGCTCGGTTAAAACCACTTTCCTTAGTGCTTGACTTTTGTTCTTTATCTTTTGGGTGCAAAGAGCTTTCAAGAACTTGGCATAAGCCGGAATTTGTTTGATTGCATCTAAGAACGGAAGATTGATCTTCACTTGCTTAAACACTGCAATGATTTCATTCACTTTGGTTTTTTGTTTTTCAAAAAAAATGGATCCTTTCAAGGCATCCGGAAATGAAGCTTTAGGCTCAAAAACTTTTTCAAAATTTTTCGTTGAATCACTTTCAATACAAGAATTTTTCAAATCCTTTTTCAAATCATTGTTCAATTCATCTTTCAAATCATTTTTCACAACTTTCTCAACAAGATGATCATGCACATGCAATGAATGAGGAATAAAATATGAAACGGGACGGGTGTCAACTTTTGGTTGCAACATTTACTCTCTTCATTGTGGATTCCAACTTGGTTATCAACAATTTTCCCACTTCTCAAGGTTGTCACCGCATTGACATGCTCAATTGTGTGACCTTCCGATGAGGAATTTGACTCTACAACAAATTGTTGCTTTGGTGGGGCATTTAGAGGCATCTTCCCTTTCTCTCTAGCATTCAAAGTACTAGCTATTTGCCCGACTTGGGTTTCTAGCTTAGCAATGGATTGGGAATGAGAATGAAGCAATTGAGTGTTTGCCTCCAAAGTACCCAAAGCGGTCAACACTTTCTCCTCAAAAGTGGGTCTCCTTGAGTTTTCTTAAGAATACGATGATTGATTAGGAAAATGAGAATTTGAGAATTGATTTCCATGTAATGATTGACAAGAAGATCTATAACCTTGGGAACCTTAGCTTTGCATTGGAGGCGGAACATACTTATTTTGAAAACCAACATGGGGAGGGTTTCCCCTTGGCTTTTCCAAGAGAAATTTGGATGGTTCCTCCGCTTAGGATTCACTACAAGAAATTAGGGTTTTATGGACAGTCGAAATTGTCCCTAAAAGCCCGGAATCAGTCCCTAAAAGTCAAATTGGTCCGTCACTAAAAGTAGCGTGCCAAAAGAGCTTTAGGGACGGTCAAGGTTGACCGTGATAAATACTTTTGACCTTTAGGGACAGTCCATACTGTCCCAAAGAACATCGTCCCTAAAACTTTTTGACTAATGAGGTATGAATTAGGGACAGTTTTAAGGACTGTCCCCAATACCTATAGTATTAGGGATGGTCAAACCGTCCCTAATACATTATTTTTAAATTATAATTATTATATTAGGGACGGACAGACTGTCCCTAATACATGATTTTTAAATTATAATTATTGTATTAAGGACGGACGGACTGTCCCTAATACATCATTTTTTTCATTATAATTATTGTATTAGGGACAAGTAGATTGTCCCTAATGCATGAATATATATATATATATATTTGTATGCTTGATTTGTGAGTTTAACCATTCCAAATACATGCAAAACATAAAAAAAAATAGATCCACAATAACATTTAAAAATATATTACTAACCATAAAACAAAATAAATACACAATATATATATTCAAGATCTATAAAATCTCCAGTTTTCTAAACAAAAACTAAAACCATGTGGTAGCACAAAAAATTGTTCCATCCTCTTCAAGATCTATTATTCATTCTATTGGTGGTTGTGGTGGTGCTTGCTGGTACCACCTTGTTGTTGGTGGCGGCTACTGAAAATGAGAGTTTGCTGGAGGTTGCGGTGGCTGTTGATGCCAGTTTGGTGCGGTTTGCTGCTGTTGGGAATTTGATGGAGACTGTTATTGGTGGAACCATGGTGGTGACTGCTGCTGTTGCTGTTGAAATTGGAGGAACCATAGTGGCGGCTGCTGATATTGGAGGAACCATGGTGGCGGCTATTGTTGGTACTGCTCAAGCATCTTCTCAAGTTTATCCATCTTTTCCGCCATTTGTACATTTCTTTATTCTGCAATTTCGGCCATTTTCCTAGAAGCCTCATCACATGATGAGGAGGCACTTGACGCTTTGGAGCCACGAAACCATGTCTGAATCCACGGCAATATCCATTCCTTATGCCTAGTTGGTTTTGCACTATCTCAATATCATTTATGGTTGGACTCGTACCATCAGAATTTTGAGAATTTTGTGCAGTCTTTTCTTTCATTGCATCCTACAAAATATTTAAGTTCGCTATCAAATTGAAAGAATATGGCATAGGAATAAATCATGTATAAGCTAGAATACTAATCTCAATAGAGAGAAAAAAAATGCTTATTGAAATGCTTATTTTCAAAATGGAAGGATGAGTTTGGACAAACTGCAATAACACAAACCAAACAAATTAACATATAATAGAGCTATTAGATGCCAATAAACGATATCAAAAGAAACTTCCACAACCAGAATTTGGTAAATAAAAAATTATGTACAAACAAAATATAAACTTTTTGTAAAACATCAAATCAAGATAAAAAAAAATCACAAACTCACAAACTCAAATATAACATAGATTAAAAAATATGACAAAATGTGGTAAACCTTGTAGAATTTATTAATAAATGAACTTAAAAAGAATATAATTTTTCTTTTATATAAAATTTGGTTTCCTAACCAACCTAGGAACTGAGGTGCAACAACTTGATTCATTTTACCCACATATAAAATGTTGTTCACTTTTTTTGCATTAATCCTCAAATGCGTAGCTTCTTATATAAGTTATATGTTTGCTCTACAAAAAAATTCCGTGTATATGGAATGCGGATTGCATGTTGTCCGACAATACCGAGTGTTTTAAGAAATCCGACACTATCATCCCTAACAAAAAAATAAATAAATAATACTTTTACTGTGGGTTGTGGGTCCGAAATAATTTGCAGTAATATCGAATCTGTTTCCCTCCAAAAACATCCTCAGAAGCTCCGAAATATGCGGCGTGAATAACGCCATAGTAATGATTTTGTAGCTAAAAGCCTAAAACTGATTGGTTGTTCCTTCATTAAATATATCAGTGTTCTCTGCATCTAACAAATACAACTTTGATGTCTTATTACTCTAGTCCACAAACGGTCCTATTTAATACTCCTTTTCCTCTCTCTCTGCATTTCATTCTTCTTAAACCAAAATCATCAAAGAGAGAGCAAAAAAAAAGGTTGTGCAATTTCTGAAGTTCATTGGTCTCAATATAGGAGGTAACTTATGATGCATACAAAACTTATTACTCCTTAATTTTATTCTCTTTTTTTTTTTTTTTTTTCTTTCGGAAATTAATTTTATTCTATTTTATTAAAACTTTTAATAGCCCTTTCTTAATGGGTAAGCTTGAATTCTCAAGTGAGCAAACTCTTTGATTCTTTTCAGTTACCTGTTTTTTTATTTTCATAAAGTGTTGTTGGTTTTGGATACTTTGGATTTGTGCTCATTTTGGGTATATCTTTATTTTTACAATCTCTACCTTCCTTTCAAGCCAGTCGTTTTCTATGCAAAAATGCCAATTAAAAGCCTTTCAACTACCCAATAATGTCTATATATCTCAATTACAGCCTCACTGATTTCAATTGGGTTGCTGGAAGTTACATCTTCCATTAATAGAAGGAAATAAATGAGTGAATTTAATGGTTAGAAGATATTCTTTTTCATGCCCTTTCTCTGTTCCATCACCTTTTGTAAAGGGAGGATTAATAGTGAAAGGTACTTCACTCCAATGATTTTGATCAACCTTCTTGGTGACAGAAATGGATTCTGAAACATCAAATGTGATTAGGAAGAAATGCTTTTTCCATTCTTTTCCTTTCCTTCTTCTCATTTCTTTGCTGGTATATATAATTTGCTAGTTTCAAAGTTTCAATGTTTTGCAGGCTGTATCAAATTTGTGGAAAAGTGGTAGCCAAAAAATTTGATGGTTGCAATTTAGCCTAATGCAATCAATCAAACTTATGGACTCATTAATTTTGATGGATTTGTGTCCGACATATAGATTATGGGTTTGTTGAGAAGGAATCAAAACGTACCATTAGTAGCAAACTTGATTGTTTCTGAGTTCAGTGATTTTTCTAGGAAAGGTGGAATATATATATATATATATATATATATATATATATTAATCTTTAGCAATTTTATTTTTAAGTATATTCTTTCCTCTTTCTAGGAATATATATATATATATATATATATATATTAATCTTTAGCAATATATTGTTTTGGTATCAATCATGTTTCCTAGGAACATACAGGTGCCTACTAAAAATATTTTTAAGTATATTCTTTCCTCTTTCTTCAATGATTGATTAATTTTGCCTTTGTGAGCACATGTCCATGATGGATGTATAGGTCTCTAGTCACATCTATACCCTGTCATCAAATATTCATATGACCAAGAAAAATCTGTCAAACCTAAACACCAGTAATGGAAAATATGAACAGAATGTACCAAGTACCCTCTTTGTCACATGGCCCTAACATTTCAAAAAATTATTTTCATTATATATATTTTTTATTTTTTAAACATAAAATGCAATAAATGAAAACCACACTTCATCCGCAACAATTCCCCACCTCCATTTGTGCACAAAAAATCAAGAATGGTCACTTAAAGGCATGTGATCCCCTATAAACCGCAAAATTGATCACTTAAAGGCATGTGACCCCTATAAACCGCAAAAAAATTATGAGATCCAAATTTCATAATCCAACATGCTAGTTTATAGTTAACTTACAAAATTTCTCTTAGCTTTCTCGTGTGCCCATCCACCTTGTTCCTTAAAATGTGTGTCCTTGTACAAACGAATAGCAGGATCCTCATCCCTTTCACTGTCCTCATCTTCTTGGCTCTGCCTTTCTTTGAGTTTGACCTGCAGTACAAAGTAATAGTGATTATTAGACAAATATATAGTTTAGAACGTAGATTATAAAATAAAAAATTTATAATTATTGTTTTATATATTACGCACATAAGCATCGTAACATCTGACAAAGGACATTGATCCAGAATAATGTGGAACCTCATTCTTGGAACGATTTTCTTTGTTTTTTTCACTTATTTTCTAGGTAGTAATTCAAACAATATTATAAGTTAGGAAACCTAAATAGCTAGTGAATGAAGTTATTATATTAAATAGTAAAAAACAAGTAGTTAAGAAATTGAACCTGGTGACATCCACGTATCACACAATTTTTGCCAAACAGCATGACCAATACCATTGTAAGGATGGCGGCATGCATTCTCAATCAGAAGATGCTCTTCAAAATGACACTTCAATTTATATCTATATTTCCTCAATGCACTGGAAATTCCCTTATTTACTCGCTTAAAATCAATGTCATTCGCATATGCATCCACTCCAAAGACCTTCTTTATAATGTAAAATTAATGTAAGCTATAATTCGTAACCAATTGGACCAGTAACCTCTGATTTATTTTTAATAAACAAACATTAAATGATGGTTATCATTACCTTCAAATGGTCATAGTAGACCTCTTTCTCAAAATCTGAAACATCCCTTCACGTTTTATACTTTAGAAGGGCTTCGGTATCTCGTGTATTAATGCCAACCTCAACCGTCCATAATTTGTTATTTAAACCAACAAGTTTAATATAACCCTCTCCAAATTCTACTGGAACCGGGCAGTTGTTTTCCTTAAGTTTGTGCAAGGCTTCATTTTTGGCTCTTCCACGCCCTTTTCGTATCGGACCTGAAAAACAACTTTATCATCTTAATTAAAACGTAGACATTTTACAAAAGAGCTTATGGTTAATTAATGATGAAGCATAATTACCTCCACTTGGTTGTGGCCCCATCTACTCATAACTACCATTACCTTCCATTCTTTCATTTGTTGAATTCCTATCATCACCTGATCCACTCGGTTGTGTAGCAGGTGAACTTGTAGATGGTCGCTCAGTTTCAGCCCTACGGGACCTTAAAACTCTACGCATTGGTTCCTCGGAGGTGTCCATAGTTTAGTTTACAAGCTGATATGAAGAATCAAGTGAAATTAAATCAAAATAAACAAGCATATGCAGAATATATTCTAAGTCATCATTTCATATTTACATAATTCCATTGAATAAAAAATTCAATAATTAGAGGCTCATAAACCTGAGAGAAGTCGTACCTTGTAAAATATATATATATATCTTAATACTCATAAATTTGATTTTTCAAAGAAACTAAAGACATCAACTTAGATGATATAATCTCTTTTATATATGGTTAATAAAATTTCAAAGCAGGACATAATTGTATTTTTCAGAAAACAATGTTTCCAGTTTGAGTAACAATGTGTGCAAATGCTTTACAAAAAGCAAACTTTTTGAGTAAAATCTCATTATGAAACCATAAAGCTAGTCACTACATTTATATATATATTTATATATATATATATATATATATATATATATATATATATATATTTCCTTTTCTTTCAGAAAAATTTGACCAGGCCATTTATCTAAAATTGAAATCGCCTTAATTTGAGGCCTGGATGGGGATTAACACGGTACTTATGATTCGCATAAAATAACATAGAATATGATTTTTAAATTGTTTTTTAAATAGGGAAATGATTTTTTATCCTTTTCATAAAATGAATGGGATTCACATTTAATTTATTCACGACAATATAAATTACTAGAAAAATAGGATCAGATAACATTATTTATACTCAAGCTAATGAACACTTTGGTTTGGACTAAAAGGTTTATTCTAACGAGAATTATACATTACAATTTCAACGCTAGAAGCAATATGTAATATTAAGCTTGCTCACTAACTAAATGAACAATGGTCCAGCTCGTACAAACCAAGTTCCCCAAATGAGAGGTGGGGAGTTTAAGCCTCCTAAGTGGAGGAGGTGAGTTTGCTTCAGCTTACAAAAAAAAAAAAAATTCTTCCTCACTATTTAATTGTTCAAATTAGGTTTATTAGCACACAATTAATGATAAAGCAAGTCTCTGGGGTCACAACCAACACTTGGACAATATTATAAATTATTTTTTGATGATTACCTTAACTTTTGTTTGGTCTAATTATTAATAATAAATATAAATTAAAAAAAAAGGCAGGATAAAGTTTAAATTTAACTAGTGTGATTTGTTTTTGTGTTAATGGAGGATTAGATTTAAAGGAATCCAAGGTTATGAATAGCAGTCTTTTTTTCCTATTTAATCATGACCATGAAAGCATTAGATAAGCTTATACTGGGACCAAATAGACATAAAAGTGTTTGTCACATTTCTACTCTATAGAGATCTGAAGACTGATGTACCTCAATCATTCAGCTGCTCTCAAATTAAAAAATAGAATTAAATAATATAAAGTTATTCACCTAGGCTACAGGTCATTAATTCTTCAATAATCCTCCAATATATATATATTCAATTAAAACTCAAACTCTTAATATCTTTATTGCCTGATGGAACTCCAAGGATATTGTCAACACGTGGGTGGCCCTGTCCTTCTAGAGTCAAAGTTAGGTTTCCATCCCTTAGGCTTGAGAATTTTCAAAAGGTAAATTGTATATATATGTAACAATTATTACAAAGGAGACCTAACAAGGGCAGACAAGGTTAAAGATTGCTTATTGGGATAATCTATATACATATACACAGTTATACAAGAAAATAAATGTACACAAGGTTAGAATAGTACACGGCGCACTGGTGGATCCAGCGTAGGGTTGGGCTGGGCTCCAACCCACCCCAAAATTTATTTTTTATTTTTTATTACTATGGGTATTTTTAGCCCAACCCAAAAAAAAAAAAATTATTAATATTAACCCACCCAAATAAGCCCAAGTCAACTAAGTCACAATATTAAAATAAAGACCCCAGCCTAACAAGCCCTATTAAGGATATGTATTAGGATATGAAGTAAAACATATTTTGAGATAAAATTGTTGTAGAGGCAGTTCTGAAATTATATATATAGCATAAATTCTTAATGTCAACACTTTCAAATCATCATGAAAAATAAACAGAGCTCATGTGTTTATCTAGAAAGTATTCAACAAATAAACAAAAAAATCTATGGCATTATAAACTATGAAAATTTGATGATTTTGATCTCTAGTAGACAAGGAGTATTAATATAAAAGAAAACATCTAAATCCAATAATTCACAAATCAAAGGTTACTAACTTACTACAGATTTAGATAAAACAAATATAGATGGGTAAGTGTTAGAATTTCAAATTAATTTATAAAATAAAACCACAAACAAAAATTACAATAATTCAATCTTTAAAACTAAAAAAAAATTATAAAATAAAACCACAAACAAAAATTACAATAATTCAATCTTTAAAACCAAAAAAACCAAATATGAAACGTGTTAAAACATAGCACGATGATAGATGAATTACCATGTTTGAAAATTTGACTTGGAGTCTATTATCGACAAATTCGAGTCTTTAAAGACTCATCGAGCACAACTTAGATAAATATTTTGTAATATTTGAATTCAAATATTTATCTAGATTATTTTATAAAAAAATTTGCTTAAGAAATTGTGTTTTTAAATTTATGTTTAATTTTAACCCACTCCACTGACAATTCCTGAATCCGCCCTTGCGTGACACGGCCTCTTGTTATTGAAGGGTTTGAAGAGGGTTAGCTATACATCTCTACTAGATAGATTTTTAGATTGTGAACCCCAACTTCAAGATTACAATGGAGCAGCAACTTTACCATTAGGTCACCTCTACTAATATATATATATATATATATATATATTAAAAATGTATAATTACACCCTAATACTGCTAAAGAGCTACATAGGTTATGATAGGAAGATGCCACTTTTGCTGTCAAATTGGATGCTTTTATGTCTGTTTCATAGTAATACATGTGCGATATAGAGAAATTGTGAATGCAGTCATAGATAATGTGTCTCTAGTGTTAAATAATATTTAAGAAGGCAATACTTTGGATTATAAGGCTTGCATAAGAAAATGCACAATTCAGCTCCAAGCCTCCAACTGAAGAAATTAACAATAAACTTATTTAAACAGTTGGAAAAATGATATTGCATCTTCCCAAACAACTGAATCTAAATAAAGACCTAAATTATCATGAAAATTTGCAGCCAAATCAACCAGATCACACCATTCAAAAAGTACGAAACAATAAAACATAAGAACAAACAGAAAACCTATTTCAACTATATCTCAAGAAAAAAACACTTGACTAAGGAATTTTTTTTATTTTTTCATTGGTTTAATTAATGATTTCACTACTGCATCAAAACATACAACCAGATTTGATTCATTAAAATCCAGATTATACCCTAACTAGATTAAGAAATCATAAACTATCATCTATGTGCTTAGAAAATATATGAGTAAGGACTCAATCAAACCACTTCCAATATATTATGTTATCTGCCCAAACAGGTAAATATCTTTGTTGTTCAACAAAATTGAACAAATGAACATGATAAAACAAATGTTCACATATTGAGAATAACACAAGCCAAAGAAAAGGGGGGAATGAGAAGTGTCAGTATAATTAAATAATCAGGATTGCTTCAAATGTTAGAAATTATAATCAAACCAAATTGAATAAATGAACATGATAAATAGTCAATCATTCAGCTCCTAGTTAAATTAACTTGAAAACATTTGATTAATGCAGTTGAGAACAGCAATTACAACTCCCCACACCAAAGAACCGTAAATTACCCACATCAAGATTGAAGTAATCAGTAAAATATCAAACTAAAGAATAAAGGGAACAGAGTTCTATAAATTTTCAGTTCAAAAAACTCGGTAAAGATATCTTAATAACAATCAAAAGCATAACCTAAATAGTAATAAATCTTAACAACAAGATAAAGAATGTGTAATCCCAAACTACATCGACCATCAGATCAAGCAAAAACACAAAGATTTACAGAAATCAAAAACCCTAAAAATCAAGACCAATTACGATATCAAAACCACAAACATAGATACATTATCATACATGATATCAACGAAATAACATTAGAGACTGAAGGAACACATAACAGAATATATAAGGGTTTATAAAGTTCCATCACAATAGTACCTTCTGATTCTGATAGCCTCCTCCAAGCTCGAGATTCTCTTCGAAACAACAAAGAATCGCTTCTGCAAACCTGTATTTCCTACAGCGATTCAGACTCAGACCACAAGCCGCCTCCAGATTTGGTGAAGATTAAATCTTGTGATTCGGTGAAGATTGAAGCCCAAAGAATGTTTGATTAAGAACCTCTGTCTTCTGCGACGGTGGAAGAGGGTGGAAGAGCCTCTGTCTTCAGCAACGATGGAAAAGGGCGGAAGAGGATGGAAGACGGTGGAAGAGGTGTGAGGGCTTGAGCGTTCAGAACTGAAGACTAGGTATATGGATGTAATGATATATATGATTAAACGACGTAGTTTATGCCCCTCTTTAATATTTTGTAAAATAAAATTATTTTATATGTTATATTTTTGTAGCGCTAAACAAAAAATTGAAGCGCCAAATGTTGTTGCACTAATTTTTTTTGGGGAATTGGGGACGGGCTAGTTAAGGTTTTAGGGACAGTCTTTAGACTGTGCCAAAAAATAAGGTTTTAGGGACGGGCTAGTTAAGGTTTTAGGGATAGTTTTTGAGACTGTGCCAAAAATTAAGGTTTTAGGGACGGTCCTAAGACTGTGCCAAAAAATAAAGTTTTAGGGACGGTCCTAAGACTGTGCCAAAAAATAAGGTTTTAGGGACGGTCCTAAGACTGTGCCAAAAAATAAAGTTTTATATTATAGTGTGAGCCATAGGGATTATTCCCTTGGTTGACAAAAACGACATTTGTTTGTTCATGGTTCTCACTTTGCACATGTCTATGGGGACAATTGGAAGTAGAATGTAAGACACTAGAACAAGTCATGTAAGATTCATTAGATGCATGATGAACATGATTAGGGGAGGAAGGTACTTGATTTGCCGAATTTTGGTTGATCAAAAATTGATCAAACCTTTGAGATAAAGATTTCACCTCGGCGGCTATGTCATTGGAACTGTAAACTTGATATAAGCCGACATTTTTCCTTCCACCTAGATTTCTACCATTTTTAGAGGATAAAGATTTATGCATCGAGTTCTCACTCATGCTTTTATACAGTTGCCAAACATCATTTTCATGTTTATCAAGATAAGAACCACCCATGGATGCATCAACCATTCTTTTTTGATTATTCGGCAAACTTTCAAAGTAGTATTGGACTAATTGCCATTTAAGAATGTCATGATGTTGACACTTCCTAAGCAAGTCATTAAATCTTTCCCATACCTCATGAAACAATTCCCCTTCCTCTTGAGAAAATTCACGAATGGAAGTTCTCATACCATTGGTCTTTGATACCGGATAGTACTTTTTCAAGAACTCTTGTTGCATTTCTGCCCAAGAAGTTATCGAAAAAGCCCCAAGATTGTTGAACCAAAATTTTGTCTTGTCCTTAACACTTCTTTTGACATGTCCGTGTATTTCACGGTGGAACACATTTCAAGAAACTCATCCAAATGCTTGTAAGGTTCTTTACTTGGAAGTCCATGATAGTTGAGAAGCAGTTGAATAGTCTGTGGTTTAATCTCATAGTGATGTGCTTTAAATTGGGGCAATTGAATGCATGTAGGTGCATTATATTCATTAGGCACATAATGAACACGCAAAGCAATGGGAGAATTCACAACTGGCGGTGCTACACAAACACTTTGGTTGCCTTACATAATGGGGGTTGTGGAGCAAAAATTGGCCGAGGTATTCCCATTGGAACTTAGCCTTATTGTGGAATGAAAGGTCTTGGCATGCCTAATGGTACTTGAATATTGTCATGATGCACATTAAGATGGAGGATACCTTATTGGTCTATGTGACCAAGGTCCTCCACATAGTCCTCCATTGGAAAATGGAGTAATGAAAGCTATCCCTTCCCCTTAGATTACGAACAATGGATTCAAGATTCAAATTAGGAAGGATAAGAGTAGGATTTAATGACCTACGACCATGCATGCACAAACAAAACTAAAATAAGAAACAAGCAAGTGGCAATCACTTCTCCTCCGCAACAAATCAATAATCAACAAACATCCTCCACATACATTGATCCCATACTCCCATGCTTTCAACAATATGTAAAAAAAATAAATAAATTGCCTCTACGCGGGCTCACGATCTATCTAGGAAAGTAAAAACACATCTCTACGCGGGCCGACGATTTAACTAGAGATTGAGTTAGGAAGAGCTCACAAATGGTTCTTAAGTAACTTCAATTTAGTTCTTAATTTTCAAGCTTTGCTATGCCTTGCAAATTTTTTTTTTAGATTTTAGCCTTTTTATACTTAGCTTAGCTCCTTGCTTTTCAATTCTCCTTTGCTTAACTTCCTTTGCTCAATTCACCTAGCCAATCAAGAACAAACACAATAAGTAATTTAAAATAAAATAAAGTAAAATCACGATCAAAAGAGTACTAATTACTAATTGTTTCCAAAAATACAGCGTTGCCAAATCCCAGGCAACGGCGCCAAAATCTGACGAGGCCGTTTGTATACGCCAAAATAATGTAGTGAATGTGCGGTTCAAGAAAAGCCTTTTAGGTCAAGTTTAAATTTATAAAAACAACAACCACCACTACTACTGACGTAGCAAGAGTGAGTAGAGATCGTCCCAAAGGATTATACGTGCTGTAATTTAACTTCGACTCCAGTGGATCACAAGATTGCGAATGAGAGATTGATTGTTTGATTACACTAAGATGCAAACAAATTAAAATGCAATTAAAATAAACTAATTTGAGATAGAGATTTAAGAGATATGAAGAGAGGTCTTAGGGTGTTAGAATCACCACTAAGCTCATACAATCAACCACTTGTTTTCCATTAATAGGGAATACATTATTATGAACAAAATGCGACTACCAATTGCAATATTAAACATGGACCATCAAATTCATGTATGAATTGTCTACCTAACCAACAAATAAACTAAGTATAGAATAACCCATCAAATCTAAGCATGACCTATCAAACTAGTCACAATTATAGCACACATCAATCTAGAGAATCATGGAATTTGCAATAATAAGTCATGGAATATCAAATCAAGTATAGATTGTCTACCTACCTACAAACATGAATTAAATTGTAAAAACAACCCATCAAGTATAAGTATAATCCATCAAATTAATTGACAAACCCATTCAATGAAAACCCATGCTTAGCCATCACTAAATCCTTAATTAATCACATATAAACATGCAACTAACATAGAGAATCTAGTGTAAAGATCAATTCTCAAATAATCACACATAAGACAACATATAATTAAAATAGAGAATCATAAGGAAGAATTAAATCAACAATCACAAGGCTAAGCACTAATCACAACAATATATACATAAATTCCCAAAAATAGAAATACAAAGGTTTAGATTACACAAGACTTAGGGCTCATCCAAGCCCTAAGTGTAGATCTAGCCAATCATGGAGGAGGTGGATGTGGTCATGAAACCCTCAAGGACAAGCTCTAAACATGGCTCCATCTTCTTCTTCCTTTTCTTCTTTTTCTTCTTTGAAGCTCTAGAGAGAGAGAATATGTGGATCTAAAGATGGGTTTTTGAGATGTGCCTCCACTTCCCTCTTTTCTTTTAACCCTAATCTCTAACTTTGTAGAGAGAGAAAGCTATAACAATATAGAAATTATAATGTAAAAATATGGATCTACCTACAAAAATGGTTGAATCCCTCTTATATACAAGGCTTTTAGAGCCCAAGAATGTGAGAACTCGGCCCTAGGATCTCCTCTTTCAAGCACAGCCCGAGTTGGGTTGAAATGAGCTTTAGATTTGCTTTTTAATAACTTTCGCGAACAGTTCGATCGATCTCACTTTTCTTCGATCGATCTCACTTTGCAATTTTCAGCATCAGCCTTCTTTTTGCTCCAGATTCTCACTAAGACTTAATTTGACTCCAAAAAGACCTTAAGAATCCATTTTTAGCCCGTTTTAACTTTATTGACCTTAAATAGACAAAAACATGAAATTAGACTAAAATGGGAAAATAAGATAGAAGAATGGACTAAAATACCCTCGCTTAAGGGGTTTAAATGCGCACTTTTCAACGCTCATCACTAAGTTTCCATGATGGGAAATGCGCACTTTTCAGCGCTTATCACTAAGTTTCCCCCCTATTGTACGTTCTTATATGTAAAAAGGTTTCATAATCCTGTTTAGCCCCATCTATCGACAACTCTCAGAAAGGGAGTAGCGTACTCTAATGTTTTGCAGGACACTCAAATGGCTAAGGAAATTCTTAAAGGTTTCTAAGATCTTCTCTAAAATCTAAAGGTGTTATACGACTTAATCAATCAGTTATGATGGCTAAATCTCCTCTTTAATTATTAAAGTATTCTTGGTTTTTACATTTGAATTATTGTATTAAAATCCAACACTTTTTTAATGTACTAGCTCTTCTTTTCTACTCTCTAATTTTATTTTATTTTTGGTTACAATTATCTGATGTGGGATTAATGACTTATGTATTACGAAAATGACCGGTTTAAAGAGAAAAACAAAATATACAATAGTTCTTTCAAACATCCTAATGACCGATGATAGTAATAGGGGTGCCAAAATAGTTGAAGGCCCAATTGGCAGCTAAACTAGCACAGGCCAAGCTTCACAAAGATAAGCAAATATTTACGTTGTTATGGTTGTATAGGCATGTAATCATTGCCTTATCTGACTTAAGTGACCATGGAGAGCAAAAATGACCCTCTCACATGCAAGTTCTTACCATTTCAACCCTACTCAAAGGGCTCTGTTAGCTTTCTAAGAGTTATATATATTTCTGAAATTTAAATTTGAATTTTGACAAATTTCGTTGTCAAAATGAGTCCGATATCGAGTTGTAAATTTGTGGTTTAATTTGTCAAGACTCAAGATCGGAAGCGGAATTAAAGAAGTGATCATGTTCATACTTCGATACACTCGATAATGATGAGAACAACGCTTTAGGAAGGTAAGTGAGTGTGTGAGGACACTTGGGTAGTTCAAAATTAGGTTTTTGGAAAAAAATTTCATTTTACTTAACTTGAACCGGTTTAAGTTTTTATGAACTAGTTCAACTTTTGAAGGCATATTTATGAAGTTTAAGTTTGGCCAACTTGAACTGATTCAAGTATTAAAGGTTGGTTTTCAAAATTCCTTCTGGCTAACTTAAACCGGTTAAGCCCCTCCTGAACTGGTTCAAGTTTTTCAGACCTTTTTGGTAACTCTCAATCCTGGTATGTTTTGGCTTTCTGTTTTGGGTAAACTTCTTCTATATTGATTATGTACAAAATTGGACGAACTCTTACGCCACACTGCTTCTACCTCTA